ACACACACACACACACACACACACACACACACACACACACACACACACACACACACACACACACACACACACACACAAACACACACATACATCCATCATTCAAATGCATCCTAGGCAAACTGTCGGGGTTGAACCTCCTGATAAGTCCGTGAAAGTCCGATGAAACAGTCTAGCATAGTATGAAGTGCGAGGGTCAGGGAACTGGCCCGTAGGTTTGAAAAAAAACAATTACTCAACGACACTCTACTCTGCTCTACAACATTCTACTTTATGACACTCTACGACACTCTACTCTGCTCTACTCTACTCTGATTTACAACACTCTACTATACTCTGCTCTACTCTGATTTACAACACTCTACTCTACGACACTCTACTTTACTTTACTCTACTCTACTCTACTCTCCTTTTCTCTCCTCTCCGACACTCGACTGTACTCTACTCGACAATACTTCACTCTACTCTACTTTACTCTACTCTACTTTACTCCACTCTACGATACTCTACTCCACTCCACTCTACTCTACGACATTCTACCACACTCTACCACACTCTACTCTACATAACTCTATTGTACGACTACTCTACTTTACTTTACTCTACTCTACATAACTCTATTGTACGACTACTCTACTCTACTTTACTCTACTCTACTCTACTTTACGACACTACTCTACGACACTCTACGACACTTAACTCAAGGACTCCCTACTCTACGATGCTCTACGACACTCTATTCTATGATATTATATTTTATGGCACTCTACTCTACTACACTCTACTATACATACCTACCCTACTCTACGACATTCTACCACAATCTACTCTATTTTATTCTACGACACTCTACTCTGCGACACTCAAACTCTACGACACTCTACTCTACGATACTCTACTCTACGACACTCTATGACATTCTACTCTACGACACTTTACTATATGACACTCTACTTTAGGGTAGTCTACTATACTCTACTCCACGACACTCTACTCTACAACACTTTATTCTACGACACTCTACTCTACGACACTCTACTCCACTCTACTCTACTTTGCTCTACTCCACTCTACTCTACTCTACGACACTCGACGACCCTCTACTCTACTCCACTCTACTCTACTCTACTCTACTCCACTCTATGACAATCTACGATAATCTACTCTACTCTACGACAATCTACAACAGTTTACTCTACTCTATGACAATCTACAACAGTCTACTCTACTCTACGACAATTTACTATACTATACTCTACGACACTTAACGACACTCTACTCTACTCTACTCCATTCTACTTGACTCTACTCTACTCTACGCTACGATACTCTATGACATTCTATGACACTCTATTCTACTTTACTCTACCACACTCTACTCTACTGTATGACACTCTACGACACTCTAGTGTACTCTACGACACTTAACGACACTCTACAAAACTCTACTATACTCTACTCTACTCTACCATACTCTACTCTACTCTACTCTACTCTACGACACTTTACGCCACTCTACACCACTCTACTCTTCAACACTCTACTCTACTCGATGTCACTTTCCTCTACTCTACCCACTCTACTCTACTCTACTCTACTCTACTCTACTCTACTCTACTCTACTCTACTCTACTCTACTCTACTCTACTCTACTCTACTCTACTATACTCTACTTTACTCTACTTTACTCTACTTCACTATACTCTACTTTACTCTACTTTACTCTACAACATTCTACTCTACGCTTTGACACTCGACTCTACGACTGTCACACTCTACTGCACTTTACTCTTCTCTACGACACTCTACTCTATGACATTCTACTCTACTCTACAATACTCATCTCTACGACACTTTACTCTACTCTATGACACTCTAATCTACTCTAAGACACTCTAGGACACTCTACTTTACTCCACGACACTGTACTCTACGACACTCTATGACAGTCTACTTTACTCTACTTTACGATACTCTACGACACTCTACTCTACTCTATGACACTCTATTTTATTCTATTGTACGACACTCTACTCTACTTTACTATACTCTGCGACCCTCTACTCTACTCTACTCTTTCTCTACTCTACTCTGCTCTACTCTACTCTTACTCTACTCTACTCTACTCTACTCTACTCTACTCTACTCTACTCTACTCTACTCTACTCTACTCTACTCTACTCTACTCCACTCTACAACAATCTACTCTACGATACTCTACTCTTCTCAACGACACTCTACTCTCCTCTACGACACTCAATGTAATCTACTCGACGACATTTAACTCTACTCTATGGCACTCTACGACACTCTACTGTATTCTTCGACACTCTACTCTTTGACATTCTACGACACTCCACTCTACTTTACTCTACTGTACTCTACTCTACGATACACTACTCTACTCTACCACACTCTACCACACTCTACCACACTCTACCACACTCTACCACACTCTACCACACTCTACCACACTCTATGAGATTCTACTCTACAACACTCTATGNCACACTCTACCACACTCTACCACACTCTATGAGATTCTACTCTACAACACTCTATGAGACTCTACTCTACGACACTCTACTCTACGACACTCTACTCTACTCTGCGACACTCCACTATACTCTATGACACCCTACGACACTCTATTCTACTCTACTCTACAACACTCTTCTCTACTTTACTCTACTGCGTGACACACT